TTTTGATGGTTTTTGGTCTCCCGTCATCATGGCATGGGGCACCCTATAGTTAATAGTTATAGTTAGGTACTTCCACCTCCACCATCCCTAAAAATCACACTTATATTTTAAATATTAAACTAAACTACCATTTTGTCCCTCTACTTTGTTGCTTATGACCATTCTCGTCCCTTGTTTTTTAAATTTGTTTTTTCCATCATCATGATTTTTATTTTATTTCTTTTTTCATCCTTCAGGTTAATGACATCAGAAAAAGTCTGTTAAGTCAGGGTATTTTGGGCAATCAAATGGAACTCAGTTGTATAATCTTCATAACAAGATTTCATCCTTAAAACAAGGAAACATGAATGTTTCTACATATTTTACTAAAGCCAAATGATTGAATAATGCCCCTGATATTACAACAAAACTACACAATGAATTACCATGTGTTTAACTGTATATAAGATGGTTTAGATATTCAGTCTCTTGTTCATAACAAGGTGTACATGAAGAATTTAGGGAAAAATGCATAAAATAGCAATCTATTTTCATAATTTTTTTTATTATAGCATTGTATTTTAGATTTTTTTATTATAGCAATGTACTTTCAAACTATTTTTTATTAGGACATTGTACTTTGAAAAATTTACCCATTATAGCGTTGGGTAACCTTTTGATTTAAATTTACCCATTATACTAGATTTTCATGCCACCTCATTGTCCACGTAGGCTGTCCACATGTACTATAGTGATGTGACTTTCTTACTATATTATTGTACTTTCAAAATTATTTTATTATAGCATCTACTAGTTCTTATTAAACACTGTATTTTTAATTTTAATATTTAGATATTTTACATGTTATTTAATAAATGTATTAACTGAATTAAAAAAAATTATGAATCATTCATTAATATATCAATATCAATAAAACTAGTAGAACACAACTTCTCTCGCTAATATTTTTAAAAAAATATATGTTTAAAAAAAGGAAAATAAGAATTGTTTCTTTTTTACCAAAAAATATTATCTCTTAAAAAATATATTATATTTGTTCAAAAACTTTTTACTTGACGCACAAATATATTAAATTAATTAGATTTTTTTTAATTATTTATTAATATAACAATATTAAAAAATTGTAGAGAACAATTTATTTCGTTAATATTTTAAAGAAAATTTTAAAAGATATATATTTATTTGAACAACATAAAATAGGAAAAGTTACCTTTTTTACAAACAAAATATATCTCGAAAATAATGTTTTCATATTTATTTAATAAATATTTTACTCTAAAAATATTTAATTTGAATGTAACTTAATAAGAAAAAATAAAAAAAAATTAATATTTTTTAGATAGTAGTAATGAAAAATGAAAATCACTAATAATAATTTGAAATAAGTTTTTATTTTAATTTTAGTTAAGTCATTAAAATGATGTGTCATCTACATCACCTCATTAAAGCCACATAAGTAAAAAAGTCAAAGGGTTAACCGGTTTAAAAGGTAACAGGTTACCCATTGCTATTATGGGTAGATTTTTTAAAGTACAATGCCTTAATAAAAAATAATTTGAAAGTATATTGCTGTAATAAAGAAAAACAAAAGTAGAATGATATAATAAGAAATTTTATGAAAGTAGGTTGCTATTTCATGCATTTAACCCAAAAATTTATGTACACAAACAAGTGCAAATTACATAAATGGGAAACCAAGCATCCAATATTCTATTTCTCTTCAACACAATTTTAGAAGGCCAAGAAAAAAGATAACAAAAGTGGTTATTTCAATACATAAAGAGACAATAATAACAAGTAATAAAAAATGGGTATAGTTGTAATCTTTCTCCAAGGGTATATTAATAACTTAAATGGTCGACGAAACAGGTCACAAAATAATCCCATACGATTTCCTTCTCTCGAAGCTACGTGCATGAGTTGTAGTTACCGTTTTATCATAAAGTATCTACAAATGCTAACTTTCGATTTTCCAACCTTACTAAGTAGATCTCGAAGATCTCAGTTTTCACGGGTATGGAGATATGCACATATCTCTATAACACACCAACTCAACCGACATCTGAACCTTAGTACGATTATGCAAAAACTCATATATCTATGTGACTATTGAAGATTTTCCTAAACCTCCTTGCATCATTCAAACCATATATTCGAATCCGCTCATCTCTGTATCAAAGATCTAATATTAACACACGTAAGTGATCGACTTGTCCGCATTCAGTTAAATCTTCAACTCGAATAACCAAACCAAAGATTTAGCAAAAGCGGTAGCATCCAAGTGTTACATTTTTGACCTCTCGGGTTTGACTTACACCCACATCCAAAGGAAGGTTTAGCTAATAAAAGACATAGTAAGAAAATAAGTACTTAAATGTGAATTACATTAAACTAAAACTGCCACAGTGACTACAGAGTCGCCACAATGGTGAACAGAAATGGAAATACATGAAAAAAAAGATCCAACCAGCTAAAAGAAAATTCAAGAGAAAAATGATGTTTCTCAGCTACTAATCCACGTCCAAGCATGCTCTAATATAAAATGCCAAGCCCCTTCATATAGTAGAAGGGGGAGATAAGGGGTGAAAGATACTTGAGAGTAAAAAATGACTTGAGAGAGAAAGAGACCTCTCATTGTGTCTTCTTCCTCTAATTTGTATTCATCTTTCTTGTTCATTTCTCCTCCTTATTCATGAAAATCTCAAAGTTGACAATTGCCATTGCATGCTCCTCATTTCACCGAATTGGAAATAAAATCAATGAAAAAATATTTACAGATGCTGTTCGCCACAGTGGCGGCACTATGACCACAATGACAGATCAACCGCAGATCAAGAGTCAGATAAAGGGTTGTGGGGACGATAAAAAAATGAGCCTACTAAAGGTACCATGGGGACGAACGGTTATATTTTTAGATTTTGTTAAAAGATGCTTTAATGACCTCATATTTTCGTTTTTATATATAAAAATGTAATATAGACAAAAAGTTACAATGAATAAGACTAAAATATACCAAAGGGACTTTGGCCTAGCGGTATGTGAGTCATTGGCCTTCTAGGAGGTCAAAGGTTCAAACCTCACCAAAGGTGAGAAGGGTGTGTGAGTTTATTTGTTTTATTTGCCGTATATAAATATTATATACTTTAAAAAATAAAGAGACTAAAATATCCCTAAGTTAACAGTAAAAATTTAACGAAGTTAGCTTGAGGGACGAAAAAGGAAACAAAATGAAAACCAGCATGACGAAAAAAGCAAATTTTATAGGCTAGGGACGGAAATAGTTATAACCAACAAACCACAAAGACGAAAACTGTAATTTACTATAAATGTTTTATATATCTATACTTATAATATAAAACATTTGACAAAAACTCTTAAAAACTATCTATACTTATATTATAAAACATTTTTTTTATGCATGAAGTACTGTTTATTGATGCATATTATTTAAAATTTAAGATTACAAGTAAATTTTACGTAAGTACAATTTATTAAAGCTCTATATTTGAATTCGTGTAACTAACTACAAATAAACATAATTAAATACAAGATAAACATATCATTTTGAATATAAAAAAATCTAAAATAATTATGATAATTATTGAATTATAATAAAATACTTAATTATTATCTTTATAAAAAATTATACTATTAAACCTAAATTAAATTACTTCATTACTTTAAATTAAATTATAATAAAAAATTGAATTAAAGAAATTACAAAAAAAAATCTAAATAGTTAATTTAATGCTAATATCCATATAGTTATTTCAAAATTTTATGATATTTTAAAATTTTATATTTTCTTCAAAAATGAAAACATTATTGCTTTCTTAAAACCACATAAATTGTACTATATCGACATTATTAAAAAAAGAGACATTGAAATCGAGATATGTCTCGATGCATTACACGAGTAACCTTCTAGTATATATATAGTGTTGGATTCAATAAGAGCAGTCTCTTTTCGTGAAATCTATAAGACCATAATATTAAACTTCCTAGTAATTATAAATGTATAAAATATACTATAAAGATTCAGTATTATTTAAATGGTGTGATAAAATTTTCATATATGTATAATTAAGGGGGTGTTTGAGATTGCTTATAAAAACAAATTATTGACTTATTTCGATGTGACACCTATAATAAATACTTTTAAGTGTTTAGATAAATAACTTATATCAGTGTCAAATCGATAATAAGAAATTTTTGAAAAATTTAAATTCTTTTGACTTATAATAAATTGATAAGTATTTTTATAGAAAAATATAAGTTATTTCAAATAAGCAATTCCAAACAACTCTAAATTACAAACAATTTGAAACCAGTTTCGAAAGGCGTCCATGGTCTATATTGGGTTAGATATAGTCACAAATGATGTGGTATTTTGGTGGAGTATAAACCATAAGACCCTTTTAGGTTTTTATTACTTATAAATACGGTGTTTAAATAATGATGTGGTATTTTGGTGAGGTGTAAACTATAAGACCCTTTTTTTTAAGGGGAAGGCTAATGACATCCTTAAGATGTACTAATGGCAACCCTAGCCCTTATTCCAATCATTTCTTTTTGTTTTTTTGTTGTTTTTACCTTTTCTTTTTTCTATATATATATATTGATTTTAATTAATATAAATTATTGATTAATTCTTTTTTAGTTTTTTCTCTCATAGTTATTTATATTTTATTTTAATATGAATTATTAATAAATATTATTTCTTTTATTTATATTATTAATTAATAATAATTAAATAATTATTACTTCTAGATAAGTTGTTTAAATAATGATGTGGTATTTTGGTATGGTGTAAACGATAGGACCCAAATATTGTTTTTGGTGAGGAATGATATCGTACCCGCCGTCCACCAAGACAGGCGATAACCAGATCCTTGAATTCAATATATTGGGTCTTTCATAATTCGGTGGTCGCGTCCCCATCAAATCATCCCCACACCACATAATGCACACACACATACATATATATATATATATGTATGTATATATATATACAAATCCACGTGTATATATATATATATATATATACACAGGAATCCGTCCATCTTTGGCGACTATAATTAGGTTTTCTTTGCCAACAATCTTCAACCCGTACGCATCAAATATTGCTAATTTACAGAAGAGGTTAATCGGTGGGTGGGGGGTCTCTTCTCATCTCTCTCTACTTTTACGAGCTCTGGAGTTAGGCCTTTGCCCTCCTGTGGCTACCCTAAGGTTATGCCGTTTACCCTACAGGTATATCCCCCATTTTCATTCCATGATTCTTTCATTTTCATTTATTGAAATCAGATCTGGATTGTTTTTCTTTGCGTTTTCGATCGAATTGGTTAGATCTGGTTTTGTGGTTTCTTTGTTTGTGTTTTTATGCATCTCTTAATTGCCGTCACGTAGGGATCATTTGGAATATGTGTGTCTAATGGAAGTTTTTGGAATTTGATATCTGGAAATTACTTGTTTGATTTACAGCTGGATTCGTGATGAATAATTGGAATTAAAATTCTATTTTTTTGGTTACCAGATCATTAGATTGATAATTATTGATTTATTGTCTTATTCTTCAACTTTCTTTTTTAGGGTAATTATTTAACATAATTATTTATGTTTCATATGATTAGAGGTCTATTAGGTTTAGATCTGTAGAATTTTGTTTTGTAGTTCAATTAGGTTTAAATGTTCAAAATATTTTGGGGTGGAATGTAAAAATTAAAAATGATGTAATTCCAGCGTATAGCAATAAAGTGATTTGTGATTGGAGATATGATTATGATTGAACTTGATTCTCATTGCTGATGCCTTGCAAGGTATCATATCCCTTTTCATCTTTCTATAATCTTTGCACCCACTTGGTCACCTTCTGTATCAATTCAATATACCTTATGAAGTTTGCTTTAGCACTTTACCTTTCATATACATATATATGTATGTATGCATGTATGTGTAATGTTCAATAATGGAACTTTTTGGTGTTTGGGATCTGGAAATTACTAGTTGTTATTTACAGCTAGTTTGCTAGAACAATAATGGAAATCAGGATTATATTATTTTAGGTTAAGATCTTAAGATAATAATTCTTGTTATATTGATAATTATAGTTCTTTTAGTGTTTCTTTGTTAGGATAATATAGGGAAATAATTGGTTATTTACTTAAGAGGTCTATTAGGTTTACATTTCTAGAATTTTGTTTCGTAGCTCTATAGATGTCTATAATAGCGACCTTTTGAAAGTTTATCAAGTCCCCTATTATAAAATATAAAGTGATCTGTGATTTGAGTATGTTCGTGAGCTTGATTCTCATGGCTGATCCCTTGCAAGTGTAGGTGTTACATCTTTTCTTTTCATAATTCTATAATCTTGTCATTGACGAGCATCACTTTGGTTTACTAAAGTATGTATGCTTGGTTCTATACCTTTTCACTAATTGGTTGTGATTAGCGGCCCTGAAAACTTGGACGGTAATATATATTGGGTCACAAGTCGCAACTTCACAGGGTTATGCCGGTGCATGTATATGCCAATGTTTCAATTGAAGTAGTGAAATATGCATTACCGGTGCATTGATCAATAAAATAGTGACAAAGTGAACTATGTAGTTTCAGAAAGGAAAAATGGATATTGCACACTCTAAGACTCAAAATATAATCATGCATTTTAGCATGGTTCGTCAAGAATGGCATGGAAGCATTGTTGAATGTGAGTTCTATAAGAATGCTGTTCATATCTTCTATAAAATAGGTGATGGGTGAAGTATGTGCTTATATTTGAACCTGCAGCCAAGTGTATCGAGTGACCTTAAACTCATCAACAAACATCTTTAAGGTCATACAAGATATTTTTTGTAGCTTTAGATAAATTAGAGATTATTGGAGAAGATAATGCAAGAATCCCATAGGAAATTTAATGCTTCTTAGGACTTTGAAGAGCATTACAGGTAGTTTGAGCATTTGTTCTCTGTTGTGTTTTTTTGTTGCTAAATCTAGTTAAATGGTCTTTCATGTTTAGAAGTTCATCAAGTGTTTGACATTAGGCAAATGTATGTACATGCAGTAGAAGTGGTTATGTCAAGTATTTTTCATCTGCTTCTTTAAGTCAACATTCATCTTGCATGTGTGTTTGTATCCTAGTTCAACACTCCATGCCAAAGACATTAAAGAGAATGGAAAGCCAATATGGGATATTTTCATCACACGCTTTTCTTGTCATTGTATTAGTTGTTTTCATGGAAATCATTTCTTGGTTGTCTTCATGTTAGACACATAGATAACACGATATATCTTGAGAACTTGCTGTTGTTGTGAAACTGACTGATCTATTTCTTGTGAAACAAACATGAGTTTGAATGGTTGGATAATAATATGCCTTCTCAATGGGGTTGTTTATATATCTTCATAAGTTTTTATTAAGCTAATTTATATTTTTTTGTCAGTTTGGAAAGGTTTTAATTTTCTCTGAGACATGGAGCAAGAGTGCCCCTGGTCAGATTGTTTCCAGAATCAGGTTTTCTCATTCCAGAAAGTGCTCGATTGGCGTTCTCTCATCCCCCGACATTTCCTTCTTGTTTCCTTTGTTAACTGCACCTAGTGAGCATCCTGTATATGAGCATTCAGGCAGGCCTAATGCAAGTTTTTTATGAGATAGGTGTTGGATCTTTAGTGAACATTTACAAGTAAGCTGATTTACTTATAAGCAAGATCTATATTGGGATTTACTGCGTAAATAAGAAAGTGTTCAACTTGTTTGTACTGATGTCCTTTTCCGACGACACCAGTGCACTGCCGATACAGTAGTCACTTAAAAATTTCCAAGAACATCTGATGAGGTAAGGGTTCTATTAGTTTACTATGTGTTGATTTAGTTATCCTTCTATCTCTGCTTGGTGGTTCTGACACCTAGCTTCGTTCTCTCAATGCAGGGCTGAACTTGCATGTAAATGATGAATTTTGTGTACACCGTTGATTACTAAATGAGATTATGTTCTGACTAATCTTAGCAAAGACTCGTTCTTTTTGATGGGTGGCAGTTAGATTTACAAAACGTATTGGCTGAAGATTTTGCAACAGAATCCATAGGGTAAGGGAGGTACCATCTCAAGTCTGAGGTAGTTTCTGGAGGCTTTCTTTTCGGCTACAAGTTTTCCGTTCGTATAAGTGTCAAGATGCCCTGCAGTTCTCAGTTCTTTTTGTTTTTTATGCCTTGTCAATGTCTGGGAGTCATTGATCCGGTGTCCTTTATGAATAAGGCTGTGGAGCCTGTCCATCAGAAGCTTACTGTTCTTTTGCTCATGCATCAAGAAAGTTGAAGGTGGATCCAGCCAGAACAGCCAGGCTGATAGTTTATATTATCCAGTTTCTACTATAGTTGTCTAGAGATTTAGTCCGTTGTTTCTTCTATGTTTGTGTTTCTTCTTCGTAAATAAGGTGTTACGAGCAGTTGCATACCAAAAAATGGAAAGGTGAGCTGATTCTTGTTTGTGATTCATCCCATAAATGACTTGAAATCATACAACTTAAGCAATTATGCGTGTCCTTGTCCAGGTACAAGATAATTAAGGAAGTTGGTACTGGATCCTTTGGGGTTGTTTGGCGAGCACTGAATAAGCAGAATGGTGAAGTGGTAAGTTCTATGCATATCAAAATTGTTGAACATAAAAATAAACTTATCAAATATAGAAGTGAATGTGTTCATTAAAGTTGATTTATTCTTTTTACAGGTTGCAATTAAGAAAATGAAGAGGAAGTATTATTCATGGGAAGAATGCATAAATTTGAGAGAAGTCAAGGTAACATCGATTTTTCTTCAACTTTCCACTATTGTCTTACATGTAAATTAACCTTGTTCTCTTGGCAGTCACTGCGCAAGATGAATCATCCAAATATCGTGAAACTCAAGGAGGTCATCAGAGAAAATGATATCTTATACTTCGTGTTTGAGTACATGGTATGCAGATTACTTGTGTACATCGGTAGTTTGCTTGTTTTCCAACACTTACAGAATATCATTGTATTCCTCCTCCCCAGGAATGCAGTCTCTACCAACTCATGAAAGATAGACTGAAGCTTTTTTTGGAAACTGAAATTAGAAACTGGTGCTTCCAAGTGTTTCAAGGTCTTGCATATATGCATCAGCGTGGTTACTTCCATCGTGACCTTAAGCCAGGTGATTTCTCTAATAAATATATTTAATGGTGCTGTTAGACTAAATGGGTTGTAGTTTGTGATCTGGAGAATTCATATGGGTACATACGCTTGACTGTGTATGAGGAAAATGTGTGCATTATAGTACTAGAGATAAAAAATAAAATAAAGGAAGAATCATTAAGCAACAGTAATATGGTGTCTTCAAGCAATCCCTCTCTCATGTAGGCAGGCATTCATGAGCAGAAAGGTTCTTGTTTTTGCACACACATATTAGGCATGTCTTTATACAGAATGTCGCCTTTAGGTTAACCCTCGTGTATGCATTGTTGTCTTGTTATACATATGTGATTCATCAATGGATAAATTGTTAGTGTTGTTGTTTGTGGTATGTTATTTTGCTGAATGCTGGCATATTCTGTATCATGCTGCAGAGAACTTTCTTGTTTCCAAGGATGTAATAAAAATAGCTGATTTTGGTCTTGCTCGTGAGATCATTTCTCAACCACCATACACCGAGTATGTTTCAACACGCTGGTGAGTCTCCTTTCCCTTTTCCTGTAGCTCTTACCATGGAACCGTAGTAATTAACTAATTTTTATACTAATCTCCTTTTATTTGTTGCTGAAATGTGGGTTTTGCAGGTACCGTGCTCCTGAGGTTCTTCTCCAGTCGCCAACATATGGTTCTGCAGTTGGTGAGTAGATGAATCATATATGCTTAACATCTCTTCAGATGTATACAACTCCTTGGAACTTAAATTTGTTATGTCCCTTCCAATCACAGATATGTGGGCCATGGGAGCCATCATGGCTGAATTATTTACTCTCCGACCACTTTTCCCAGGTTCAAGGTGTGTGCCCAGTTCTGCTATAAATAAAATCTGTCCTTCAGTTCCCTTCCGTTATTGCAACATCAGCATCAGTGTCATATAGTTTCTCCTCGAATGTTTTTTTTCGTGTGCATGATAAAATGTGAAAGTCTAATAGATTGGGACTCCCAAAGCACAGGTACTCAAGAAATCGTCAATCATTCAATGCTTGTAATGTTGTCCTAGTTCATTTATTTCTTCTTTAAGACTAGCAAATACCAACAAAGGGACATTCTGTTTTTATGAAGTAATATCTCTTGTTTTATTTGCATAATTGTTAATTTATGAGCTGGATTGAATTGCTATACTAATTTCATGAGGTGTGTGAATCAAGCCAGTGATTTGCTTAAATTTTTTGTAGTTTAATATCTGTAATGTGTGTCAATCTAGAACCGCATATAAGCAGCTTGATAGATGTTTAAGCTAAAACTTGCCCATATTAATCATGATTGTTGTCTTGTGGTATTTGTCATTCTTTATTATGCGTTTACTAGAAAGAGCAACTTCTCTATTCATGTAGCTAATTAATTCTGTATCCACCACACTCTAAACGAAAGTCCACCGAAAACAATACAAGCATATGTTTTAAAATAGTTGGTCAACTGTATTTATAACATTTTATGCTAATGGGAGCTTCTAGCTGGATTCTGGTTCGTTGATGCAATTGTGTTATATGCTTCATGAATTGAACCGAACAGTAAGCTGGACTATTTTGACCCAAGTACTGAATGCTTGTTCTTTTCTTTGTATCTGCAGTGAAGCAGATGAAATTTATAAAATTTGCAGTGTGATAGGGACCCCAACAGAGAGTTCATGGGCTGAGGGACTTGAGCTTGCAAGTACCATCAGTTATCAGTTTCCAGAGGTTAGTTCTTTTCTTTCCGTTGTCATCATAATATTTTGTCAGCTGAATGCCTTTTTCTCATCAAAAAGTATTGTTGTATGAAATTGGCTGTTTCATTAAAATTTGTAACTTTGTTGGTCATATATCTGTTTCTGTGATACTAATCTTAGTATTTACAAGCGTTCTGTTTGTGTCACCAAGTATTTGCACGGTCGCTTCACTTTGCTCAAGCACGAGATCTTAAAACACTTTATGTTGTGACCAGATCTTATTTGAAGTATATGATATTTATACACGGCAAATGAACTCATGTATCTTCCTCACCTTTGGTGAGGTTTGAACCGACCTTCTTGGGCATAAATTCCTGGATACTTAATTTCTCTTATCTGTAATTTGTGGTAGCAGCTTGCAGGAGTACCTCTTTCTGCACTGATACCATCCGCAAGCGAGGATGGAGTTGATCTGATTGCAGTGAGCACCAGTTTTTCTATGCTTTATAACACCATTTATTTTCCACATTTCAAGAGATGTGCAACAGGAAGTAACAAATTTAATGGTTCTGTTATGTAGTCACTCTGTTCTTGGGATCCATGTAAGAGGCCTACAGCCTTGGAAGCTCTTCAGCATCCTTTCTTCCAGGTAGAAACCCCCAAGATTGCAAAAAATATAACAGGAAGAGTTAAAAGTTATTATGGTTAAAAGAAGGATATGACTAAGACCTGTCATTGTTGAAATGTGCAGAGATGTTACTATGTTCCACCTTCTCTTCGGCCTAAAGCCACTACTATTGGTAGAACACCTCCATCAGGTTTGTTGATTCAGTTGACCTGTTCTTTTGAATTTTTATATTATTTTACTTTATTTTTTTGGTGTTGTGCTGAAGAATACGATGATGCTGCAGGTGTATCAAGCGGGAGGAGGGGTGTGGAGCAGAAATGTAGCAACAAGAGATATCCTTTGCCTAATTCAAAGCCGGTGGGCAATATTATTACTACATCAGGTAAAAATAGAATATATAATAGAATATTATGGTGGTTAATTCTTGATTATTCTCATGTTGTGGTTTTTGTTACAGGGGTGCAACGTAGATTGGAAATGAATAGTAATAGTAATAAACAGGTGCGTGTGGATTAACAATTCCTAACTAAATATGATGTTGGCATATGTTGGAATTTGAACATTGGTTTGTTGGTTGGTTGTAGGATGGAGTGAAGGAAAAGATGAATAAGAAGTGCGCGAGGCAAGCAGCAGCAGCAGCACCACCACCAAAATACCAACCACCCATGAAAAACAATAATCCAAGTAAGAACTTATTAGAAAACATATTTGCATATTATTCATTAAGAGAATGATTAAATGAATGGTCGTTGGTCTTAAAGGAGGAATGTATATGGGAAAAGGAAGAGGAGGAGTTGGTATGGGTGAGACAGTCGAAAAGTTGGGAAACATGACGATTGGTTCTGCTAGACAACAACAGCAGCAGCAACAGCAGATGATGAGGATGAAGGGGGGGAATGGTAACCACGTGTTGTTTACTGGAAGATCTCAAGGTTATAGCAGCAAGGTGGCAGGATGATCTTATTATTAATAATAAGAAGTTGCATTGTGTGCAGCCAGCCAGCCAGCCATGGGATGGGACTGGGAGGGAGTTTCTTTCTGATTCAGCCATAAACAATCCAACTGTTTAATCTTTTATTTCATATTGTGACTATTTCTCCTCTACTAAACTTAAACTTGTTATCTGATTTATTGTTTTTGTGTGGATTGAAATGAGTGGTAAAAAGGACGAGAATAACAACAATCTGATTGTTAATAAATGAATTGATGTTAGAACACATGATATGTTTTATTAATTTCTGGCTTCAAACTTGTCACTTTTTAGGGTCACAGCAATACCATCTTTTTTAAATGGATGGTACTGGCTGTTTTCATTTAAAAACTATTGGGCAGTTGGTAGACCAATTCGAGAGAGCTTCAGGGCCAAAACTCAACTTTAATCTTCTTCAATGGGAAGTTGGTAACACCATCAGAAGTATTCATAGGGAATATGGTTAGGCGTTGTGCCTAACACCACACATACTGATGTGACAAACCGGAAAACAAGCCATAAGTGGTTCCCGCCCTTAACCATGAGCGACGGTTCGATCTTTTTAGAGCCACTGTTACATTTGTACTTTAATAAAAAATATAAAATTCATATTGTATATTAAATTAAAAGTTTTACAAGTTAAACTAACAAAAATTTGTCTTCTAACAACAAACTAACATAAAACTTGCTCGAACAAAATCATTTTTCTAACATTATTTGAAACAAAGTCTTCGATTACTTATTCATAATCAACTTTCTCTAATCAATCGTTAATTTAAAAGATTAGTATATAAGAGTTTACCAATCGATAATTGTTGTTAACCTCAAGTTTTCAAGAAACTATGGTGGCGTTTGGTTCGTAGAATGTTTTTGGATTGAGTGAAATCTGTTAAAGGGAATTTGATTTTGAAGAAATTGAAATAGAATGTTGTCAGGTTTGACCACCTGTTTGGTTGGCAGACATTCTCACATTAGAATGGAATCTTTTAAGGAATTGAAATATGTCTGTTTAGTTCACAGAATATAGCTTTAGAATTAGAATGAAATATTGGTAAATGACCAAATGTCCTTTTCGAAAATTTTAATTTTTTCAAAACTAAAATACTTTAATAAAATAATTATTTAGAACAATATAAAATACACAAGATAAATATAACCATAAATCCTTTACTAAATCGACGGTGGTTGGCGGTGGTTTAGATCGATGGTGGTCCATTGTGGTTCAGATGGCGGTGTTCCATAGCGGTTCAGATCGATGGTGGTTCAGATGGAGGTGGTCAAGCGTGGTTCATATCGGCAGTGGCGGCGGTGGTTCAGATGAGTGGTTGTTCAAATCGTTGGTTGTTGGTGGTGTCCAGCGGTGATTCAGATAAGTGGTAGTCGCCAGTGGTCGGCAGTGGTTCAGATTGGTGGTGGACCATGGTGGTTCAGGTGGCGATGGCCGAATGTGGTTCAGATCGGTGATGGTCGACGGTGGTTCAGATCACCGGTGGTTGGCGGTGATTCAGTTCGGTAGTAGTTGGCAGTGGTTCAGATCGATGGTGGTCCAGGTGGGTCATATTATGTTGGTCGACAGTGGTTCAGATCGGTATAATCCATGGTGGTCCAGATCGACGGTGAATCAGATCGATAATGGTTTAGATTAGCGAAGGCCGATGGTGGTTCAGATCGGTAGTGGTCGGCGGTGGTACAGATCGGTGGTGGTCGGCAGTGGTTCAGATCGGTGGTGGTCGGCAGTGGTTCAGATGGCGGTGGTCGGCGATGATTTAGATCCGTGGTGGTCGGAGGTGGTCGACAATGGTTATAATTGGGTTTTATGAGATTAGGGTATATTGGATTAAGAACATATATGATATTATGAAGATAGAGAATTTCATTCCATCCAAATATCATGTAATTGCTAAGAAATGTTAAATTCTTTTATTTGTGGAATTTGTAGGATTTTAAAAATTCATTTTATGAAAAAGAATGAACCAAATAAGGGAATGAAATTTGGTCAATGGAATTTAACATTCCAATTCCATCAGATTCCTGCAAACCAAACACCCTCTATATCTCAATTCAAGAGCCAAATTCCTCTCTAAACTCTCAACTTTGATGTATGTTATCAAAGGTTTATAGTGCTTTATAATGATGATTAGTATCATGATAAACGAACATGCCTCTTCCACTTCATTCATGTTTGGTCCACATAAAAGTATTCCCAAACGTGGAACATGAATCCCAATGTTGTCCAGTGTACCAAACGCACCCTTATTGTATAGATTCACATCACATAAGGTCACAATGTTGACTATTCAAAGTAATAATTTATGTAAATCAATATAACTTGGTTGGCCTTCTATGTTAATATTTTCATTATTATCTTAACCTTTTAAGGTTAAAACAAACTTTTTACGAACCATCAATCTTAGAATAAAAAATCCATCTTGTTTATAACTTGAGATCTTAATAACGTAAGTAAAACAATAGTATTTTTGAAATCCTAAATATAGATATAAGTTTAATGGTCTCATATGGTTAATAATTATTTTTTAAAAGGTAGGAATTTTCTTAGCTAATAACAAAAAACCTCTTACTATATTCTAATAAAAAATATAAGTCATACGAATAAAATAATCAAAAGAGTCAATGGAAGATGGAAAATGTATTAATATTTTCTAGCCAAAGTATTTTTAGATCTTAGTAGTAGATAAAAACTTAGAAAAACAATAATCAGTACTATAAAATAAACAACCAATTAAATACATCTGACCTGGACGTACGTCTGACCCGCCCTCTCCCAGGGACAATCCTGTGAACGAAGCCAACAAGAAGGTGAGGTTGTCAAAGACCTTCCAGCCTAGTGGTAAAGGCTTGTGCATGGCATAGTCATGAACCCGAGTTCGAGCCCTGGGAGGGGAGTGTTGGCGACATTTAAGTGGGGCCATGTTTAGCCTCCAAATTTGCCGGGGATTAGTCGGGCTTTGGCCCGGACATCCTTAAAAAGAAAAAAGAAGGTGAGGTTGTTAGACGAACAAGAAAGTGAGAAACAGAGAACAAAGATGTGGAGGATTATTAAATAAGTTGTATTTGGTGTTTCGATCATAAAAATTATTATCGGGAAAACGAAGATGAGAGGGACTAGCCCGTTAAGAAAATTTAATCTTTAAATTAGAGACCTAAGAAAAAGGAATTATATATTTGCAGTCATAATCGAAAATTGGAGAAAACAACAAATTGATAGAAGAAGGAAGTGATTGGAGCATTAATTGGGTTAGATGACTAATACATTATAATTGTCAAATTGACTAAAAATAAAGGGATGAGGACAAAGGGATTGAGTTAGAGCAAAGGCTAAATCAATCTATCTCTCACACACAATATATATATATATATATAGATATATAGATATATAAGTGGAGGTTCAAACGAGAACACTTTCATTTTACGAGAACGCGAGAATACCCTTATCACATGTGATAATACGCATGAGGAGACCCTGTGATGTGCGGATGACATGTTCTATGACTTAGGCCGCGCTAAAGGTTGTCTGCGTCTATGATTTAGCATAACATGTGATGGTCTTGATGGATTATAATATCATATCAACAACAATCTTATCACATGTGACAATACTTGTGATGGGGCTTAGTGGTGTAAAGTCGACTTGGCCCGCCAACCAAGATCGCATCGAAAATCGTCCGTGTCTCTGATTTAGCATCACATGTGTATCATATGTGGTGGCATAATAGTATCACATGTGTGTTTATAGTAAAAGAATGTTCTTGCGTTCTCGTAAAATGAAGGTGTTCTCGTTTGAACCCTTCCATATATATATATATATATATAGAGAGAGAGAGAGAGAGAGAGAGAGAGAGAGAGAGCTTGGTTCAAATGTTAAGCAAGAATTTTGTGTTAACTTTGTTAACCAAACTCAACCAATCATATTTCATCTTTTCTTTAGGTTCAAATGTAACTCATATATTAACTACAAGAGTAATTAAATAATTTGTCATTTATGTAACTCCCAAATAATTAATTGGGAGTTATAAATCTGAAAAATCTCACTAATTGATCATGATGTAATATTGATATTGGTTTTCATACGTGTTCATGTTTTCTAATTTTCAAATGATGTTCTACCTATAATGATATTGCATTCGTTATCAAAGCGTTTGTATTAGTAATGGATTAATATGATATTTCTCCAGAGACAATGAAATAGACTACATTATCAAAGCGTTTGTATTAGTAATGAATTAATATGATATTGCATTTGTTTTAATCAACAGTTGAGGTGACTGCAGCTGACCTGTTGAACAACTTCTGTATATTCAGGAGCTGACTTTGTTGAGAGTTTTAATCAGTTTACAGGTGAAGACATATGAAGTTAACATATAGTGCATTAGATGTTCATATGAAGACATAGGGACACACACAGACATATGAAGACATACGATCACATCAGAAACCACACATCCTTAGATGTCGTGATTCATAAGTGTTCATGTCTATTCAAGTCACTAGATGTTCATATGAATCCATATACACACAGAACATGTGAAGACATGTGAGCACGTATGAAAACACACAACCCTAGATGCCTTAGTTCATACGTGTTCATATATATATATATATATGTGTGTGTGTGTGTGTTCATATGGTTTTTATATTAACAAAAAGAATGAGATTTTTTGATTTTATAACTCCCAATTAATGATATGTGTGTGTGTGTGTTCATATGGTTTTTATATTAACAAAAAGAATGAGATTTTTTGATTTTATAACTCCCAATTAATGATATGGGAGTTACATAAAAAAATTACCTAAATACCCTTTTCCGCTTTGTTCACATATGTTTTTTGAAATTGTAAATTTAAAAAATTAATTTTTTATCATAATTAATCACAACCATTTATTGTAAGAATCAAAGGTCAAGATTGGTTAACAAAGTTAACACAATAATCTTAGTTAACATTTAAACCAACCCCTATATATATATATATATATATATATATAAATAATTGGATACCAAATACTTTAAAGATCCTATTCAAAATTCCACACTGATACCCCTTTCGACACGGTATGGTAGGCAAGCTTTCAAATCCAAATCAGTCCACAAATTGGACCTCCATAACCGAGCGAATATAATGTCTTAATTTATTTTTTTATGCCGCGTGTCATGCTCCCATTGGACCAATCTTGTGAAATTTTTTCTCCTTTCCTTGGTCTTTTTGATCCTTTTTTTTAATCGTATAATTTTTAAAATTACTTTTTATTATGGTACATCTAGAACGTAGTTCTGGTAAAACTCTCTCAGTCTCTCATACATTTCTTTCACGATTTTGTTTTCGAGTTCGATAAAACTTCGTTTCCGTTTTGAAATATCTGAAAGTGAAGAAATGATGCTGCTTTTTTTCATGCCTATCCTATAGTCCATAACGTATTTATATTGTTACAAACAACTTGAAGAAATTAGAAAACGGAAAAACTTGGAGGAAAATAGTAAGATTAATAAGAAAAAAAAAAAACTAATAGAAAGAACTTTGTCACCACTGTTCACATCTTGTCGTCGTCTTAAATCTTATCGTAAACGTGATCGGTGTATGCTAACTAATATTGTTGATCCTCTAGGTATAACAAATAAACTAAACTATTTGACTAAGAATATTTTATTGTTTAGCTTATTAATTATTGTTAGAAGATTAGGATTACGGAAACAGGGTAAATGGTAATCGGAATGTAGATTGCTTATGAATCGTGAAAGTTCACTTTCCGAATTGATATTTCAACCCTATGTCTCGGTATCACGAAATTTTATTTATGGCAATCCTCAAGAATACTTTCGAATTTAGGTATAAAAAAAAAAGACAAAATTACTGGAGAATATTTTGAATGTTCAGATTTTTTAGCAGCCCTAAAACTGTACATATACCTGTTCCATTTGAAAAAATTGGATGAGAGACATAATGACGGTTTTTGGGAAGTTAGAATCAATTACGGACGATTATAACCGTCAATGGATAAGATCAAGGATTCGTTAAACGTGCAGGTCTAGAAATCTGAACATACATGTCCAGAAATAGGACTAAGACCAACCAGAGATGGGACTATCTCTAGACTTAACTAGTCCAAAGATGGAAGCTCTAAGTCTAGATACCACTTAGTCGATTTTACTAAGTCTGAATACCACATAATCGAACCTCAAAACTGATAAAAAATGACGCATCTCTTCATTCTGATCATGTTTTCCCCCTGCATTCCGAGTTCAAAATTCTATAGAGGTTTTAAGGCGCTGCCTCTTGGACCCTGCAGGGATGCTGCCCCCTTGATCCCCACCTTTTCTTCGTGTCCGAAATCAAACTCGCCTTATATACAAGTGTATGCTCCGCACCACCTAACTTGTATTAGATTCACAGTTTGAAACCCATTAGCACTCGTGTTAATTCTAGTTACACTTAAACAACCGTTGAAACTAAAATCACCAACAATCCTCCCCCATATTAGTGTAACCCATTATTTCACATAGTAATAAACTAAAATGTCGAATAGATTTTGTTTTTCATGTTGGTATTTTACACGTTCCAAATATTTGAGATCAGGGTGTCCTAAGGATTGAACCCATCAACCCATTTGAATAGATGAAGCTAAAATACATACAAGTTTCTATACTAATCTAGTAAACTAAAACATGACACAATTATAACCGTGTATCCTAATCCTCTCATGATTGTATAAAAGTCAAGTCTCAAACCTTTTGAAATGCGGCTACACTTCCAATCACATAAGTAATTCATTTACTTCATGTACTTGCAATATGACTTTTATCCCGCTCAGACCTTAGATTTCGAAGCAATACTGTTTGTAACTAAGAAAGCGGACCAACTTAACGTTACCAGCACCTGTGATCGTAGCCCGGTCTGTCGACCGACTACTTAATATGCTCATAAAGGAACCACAATCCTCGGTTTCATAAAGGATAGAGTGTAGAAAAAGCTTTATGAGTTGGGGAAGGGAAGAAATTTTGCTTAAAACGGTCATCCAAGCAATTCCTACATATGCAATGACTGTTTTCCTACTTACAGTGGATGTGTGTCGGGAAATCGAGCAAATGATATTGTCGTTGAAGGTGGCAATCAAAAGCATCACGAAGAGGAGGATTGAGTTGTATTGCAAAATCGATCACACAATCTAGAATACAACCCAGAAAAACGAGATCGAGTAGAAAATAGTTGAGAATTACCCAAGACCCAAATAGGAACTCAAACATGTTTGTATGCAGAAATGATAAACTCGAACTCTCGGCAGAAACAATAAACAACAAACAAAATATAAATGTAACTTGAGGGAAATAATAAGAGAGAGAACGACACCGGATTTACTTGGAAAACCCAAAATAGGAAAAACAACGGGTAGAGGAGACCACAGAGAAATCCACTATAATCGAGGTTGATGTTAGAGTGCTTGAAAAACAGAGAAATCGATGAAGATAGGGGTGTATGCGGGTTGGGTTGGGTGGTTTACAACAGTTTTACAACCCAACCCAATTATGGCGGTTTGAAAAAAACTCAACCCAACTCAACTCATTCAAAAGTATAACCCAACCTAACCCTTGCGGGTTGAAGCGGGTTGACGGGTTAATAGTTACATAAAATTTGACGAATGAAATAATTCATAAAACTTAAGTTTATAGACCATACTATAAGGCGTCCTATCTAAAAAAGTTACAATAGGTTTATAGGATGTTTCAACAAGTGTTTTAGAATGAATTTTAAATAAAATGTCATATTAGTTATTTTATAGAAACATTTTAAGAAGTGTCTCGTGAACTCATCTATTTATAGGACATCTATGTTCATATGACACCTTTTCAAGTCGTGTCGTATACAATAACTACTACAACACTTTATTTTAAAAGTGTCATAGAATTTGTTAAAACGTCCAAAATTATCCTATAAACATATTGTAATTCTTTTAGATAAGACATTTTTCTTGTTTTGTCCTATAAAATATCATATTAGGACACTTAGATATAATAGGCATCATATAAGATTTAATGTTGTTGTAGCAAAATGTTATAACTAAGCAATTTCTTTCCACTAAAGTACAACATAAATGATGGGGTATTTAGATTGATGGATTCGTCAACCAAATACCTATTAATATCATTCATATTGACCAATATATCAATTTGTTGTTGCTACAAAAAGGATTTTAATAATTTTCTCTTATTAATTAGATTATTTGTCATCATTTTTTATTGTGAATCTCTTTTGGTAACCTATACGTTTAGTTAAAGTGAACTACAAACATAATATCAATAAAAGTTATATAAATTTATACATTAATAATATATATATATATACACACACACAATAAACATATATATATATATATATATATATATATAATTTTATAAAAATTATATATTAGCGACGGGTTGAGTCAATTTTAACCCATCTAATTAACGAGTTAAGGGTTTAACAGGATTGTTAGTGAGTTGGATTTGACAGGTTTCACGGGTTGATTTATGATATCCGAAGTAATGTATTTTGTTGGGAGAATGTATCAAATGTAAAAGAAAGGGAAAGCGCCATCAGCCCTTGGGGCTTCCCAATGCAAACCAAAAACAGTGACCAAAGCAGCTTGTGAAGTTGCTTTGTAAGACGCATGAGACACTGTTCAATTTCAATGTTTATGCAGACTTTGGAAGGCATTGTTGGAGTCTACCTCATCCACTAACATCTTTTGGAGACACATAATATATATATATATATATATATATATATATTCCAAGTTGGATGAGCCAAGGGGAGAAAATGTGCATATGTATAAGATTTCAACTGGGAAAACAAGTGGAAAGGAAAAAGGGGTTAATGTATAAGGTGTTCAAGGCTCGATATTTCCTCTCAACAAAGACTGGAAGCATCCTTGAAGAAGCACAAACTTAATAAATTGCAAGTTGCAAGTCTCCTACTACTACTACTACTAGAGGGCAATCACATTCTTCCACATACTTAATAGCTACCTGTTGAGCAGCGCAAGCGCATATTACATGGTCCCAAGTGCATATCGGCCTTTGCATAACACAACAACCCCAACCTACCATGGCTCAAAACCCAGATGCAAGTTGGATTCAAATGCAACAACGCTTATAATTTCGGATTCAAATAATTCTTCTATGAGATTCGATAAACAATATGATGAGAAAGGCAGGCAGGCAGCACTTGGATGGCATTGATATAACCCCTACCTAATCAAACATCCAACAAACTCTAGTTTCTCTTCTTTCATAAAGAATAAATACAACACAAGTTCCTGAGACCCAAAACACAATAAAAATCCACCCAACACCCGAATATAAAGAAATTGAAACAATGAGAGAGAGAGAGAGAGAGCATCAGCATCCGATCGGATGTCCAAAACTTGCTGCGAATCAACGTCAAACTGGTATTGGTATGATTGATTAGTTGTATAACATTCCCATGCATCTTCGCCCTACGTTAAAATGACTGACGATGGATCATCTTAATCTTTTAAGCTTCTAGTTAAAGGTATTGGGTCTGTATTCTCTCCCTGTTTTCTTCCCACCATTGTTTTGCATGCACTTCCCCAAACTTTTCACGACTGCCCATCATACATACATGCATACATACAACAAAAAAACAAAATTACACCAAGCTATACATAATCTTAACCTATAAATACTGCTTAATAATCACAAGATAAGAGAATCTTGTGTGACGATGACAATGGGCATATAAGTAATTTCAAGCATATTTATGATCCAGCTTTTTTTTGGTAAAATGTTATATGAAAACAGTCCCCTATGTAATTTATGTCAATGGATGATTCATTAATCTTTTGGTGTTGGTTTTTCAGTGTTTCTAAGGACTTGGGATCATGGGTTGAGTGAGTTCATAGTCATGCATTGAACGTAGTAAGAAAAATTTAGGAATAATGACCTGAATCTGACACGCCGGAGCTCTCTGGTGCCGTCTGTTAACTGTCTGATGGTAATATAAACACCAGGCTCATCTTGCTCTATCCACTCCGACTCCATGTCACTGGCATTGCTAACTGAAATTGAAGCCTCATCTCTAGAGGATGTTGTTGTCCTTGATGCCTCCATAGATGACACCTCACCCTTGGGCCCGCTACCTCCGTAAGCACTTGGGCCCACATTGAATTGGTGATTGCCTCCCTGGTCCGACGATTTATAATAGTTCCTGTTCCAATCTTTGTTAACTGATGGGGTCATCATTGGGCTTTCCCTTGCTGATCCCAGCCTTGAGTAGGTAGAATCTCTCTGCATCATTAGTAACATTTTTCTTTCAAATTACAACGTCTTTTTCATTTATGATGTGGGAAATAAGTAATTAACGGAAGAACGAAAGAGAGGAAGGTAGATTACCCCATCCTCAGAGCGAGAGGGGGTGTTTAAAGCTTGGCAGTTGAATCTCTGAACATTGTAAAGCTCCATTATTCGGTCATAGTTCTCCCCCCACCATCTCTGAGCTTGCCATTTATTGAACATTTCTCGGCTTTCATAAGTTCAATAATTCAAAAAAAGTCAGCATTTCTTACACTGGAACTAAATTCAGATGATAAAAGAATAGCAATGAATGAAACAAAATTGATGGTAATTGGCAGGCTCTGTTGAGATAGAAGGATCATGGTTGTATTCAGTCCCCACTGTAATAACTTCAAAAAAAGGATCAAACTTTATGGCCATCATGAAGGTGGGGAATTAGATAAATGGGGACCAAATTTGTCAATTTTGCAAAAATAGAATGCAGAGAAAAACAAATATCCCAACATGAATGGACTAGTTTTATGAGCCATCAAGCAGTTCTATTATATTTATATCTAAGAGGTGCAATCTGTTAAATAGCTTCCAGGTTTGATGACATAAAAAGATTATATCATATCTATGGCTCTGCATTATACGTTAAATGGGATACAGTTGGGAATTAAAGACTTACTTGAAGCGAATCCGTTTAAGGTCATTTCCACCATTAGGCAAGGAAACGAAAGTGATTTGAACACCGGGTTCCACCTGAGCCATCCATTCTTTAGGTTCGTCTTCATCCTCCAACACCAAATGACCAGATTGTCGAGGGGGTTCATATCCTCCACTTGGTTCGTTGCTAGTGAAATCCCAAGCAGGAGTAGAGCTAGAGCTTCCGGGTTGCATATAAGGGTAGTTTACCCCTTCAGATATGGTCTCAAAGTCTGGGTAAGCTCTTTGGCCTTTCTTGTAGCTGCTAGGTCCTATAGGTGGCTTCCCCTTTGAAGAACCAGAAACTTTTAATGCATCCTTGATCTGCACACCATAATCCAACTCATGAGAACAAACCTAGATGCACTTAATTGTGAATCTTGAATTTCATTGCAAGATTTGAGCTTTATTTATGGACACCTATGAAAAATGTTTTACCATGAATCAACAAAACCAGATTCATATTATAGCGTGTCAAGACACACAAACTTCCCTTTTTCGCTGTTGTCCAAGAAGGAAGTTTTTACCACTAAGGGTGCGTTTGCTATGCATACGAGATTGGACAGAACTGGACGGACAAGAACAAGGTTGGCGGGTGAAAAAACTCTAAAGCTTTTCAGGTTTTAATTTGACATGAGTAGTTTATTAATTTATCAATTTTGTTCCATGTTCCTGACTTTTGTTCCACCTACTTTGGTGAGACATAAAAAATTGCATTTTTTGTCCCACTCAGGTCATCATCAGTCAAAGACCGATGTCATGTCCTATGTGAGACAACAGTTTTTGTACTATATTGTCCCATATTCATAGTTACAATTATTTTCCTTTAGCATTACCTTTGCAAATCTATGCCCATCTATGGGTTTAGTCCCAGTGACCTCTATTTTAACAAAGGGGTAAAGCAAAAGTAAAGATACTTCAATTCCCAACATAAATGGGTTATGAAGCAATTGCTTAAATTCCCCCTTGTGTGCCTCACCTTTGTCTTTCTTCTTCTTTTAGTGACCTCTTAAAGCATAATAATACAATAACCTCACTTTAAAACATAGAATATTTGCTAAACAAGTAAAAGAGCCTAAGCATGGCATGGAGTTCAAATTAAAGAAAGCTTCTCTTTTATTCCACAATAGTTGATTTAGTTTATTCATTTGGCTTTTTCTTAACATTTAACGGAGGTTTCTGAAGTCATACATGACAACTTAATGTAATTGAGAGAACCTACATATAAATCTATGCAGAAATTTGCTAATCTCAGTTAAGATCTATGATTACAATTAATGCGGTAATGTAAACAGTAAAAGTGTCCCGGTGTGAAGTGTTATTTTTCTTCCTAAGCAGCTCCAAAGTCGGACAAGTGTTCATTCGTAAGATAGTTTAGTAAACTCAAACTATTAAACTGATTCATAAATGATTATATGTTAGGATTTCAAAGTAATCTGGATAAAAGATCACAAGAACCGAGAATAAGAAGTTTTCTCATGGTAAAACGGGCCTAAAAAGAAATATGAATTCTCTTTCTTTCGAAGGAAGTTCTCATCATTTACTATATTGTCAAAAAAGATTATGAGAGAGCTAGATGTATTTATGCCCAAACTCATAACAAACTCACGGTCAATAGTGTTGGTCCATGTTACCGGTTGATTGTGACCTTAGGTATGAACACACAGTCAACATCTCATTGATCCCTTGGCAAAGCTTTAAACAAAAAATTTCTTCCACTCTTAACTTTATACAACTGTAAGAAATTTGAATTTCATTGGATCTGGGAGGTCAGAGAGAAATAGACAAAAATTCAATGGAGGGTCCCAATATAGGACACTCGTGTATCACTTTTCCCAACATGGGTGTCCTGTCCTTTCCCCAAGATATACTCCTACACATCCACTTTTATGCATGGTGTGATTGGAATAAATTTTAACCATCATTCACTCTATCTATCACACACTGGTCTCTTTGTTTTATCCATTTTTTCTAAATCATATTGTAGACCAAAACAACTCCCATCCCTACATCCTCTTTCCGCCAAGTTAAATGAATCTCTTGTCTCAGTCATTGCAGATTACACTTTTTGATATTCGGGATTTTTTTCTTATCGTCTTTATTAAAAGAAGCAGAAGAATCTCAGATCATAAACATAGTACATAAATTGTACTGCTGACTAAAGATTTTAGTTGTTTTAGTAGAACATGATATTGGGAATCATGCTCAAAATTTTGTAAGATATTCCCTAGATGATATCGTTTAAGATTAATGCTGTACAATTTAATTACTTATTTGTCACTTCCATGTTTCAAAACGCAATTTCTAGATGATGCATGTGGGTTCCTAGCTTTGTATTGCTACCATTCATCCAATTATAACTCTTGTTATATGACAATCACTTCTTTTCTCCTACCAGCAAATTATTTAAAATTTAATTATGATCTTATGTTTAGTTTGCGCAAGATAACTTACGTGGACAAGGTCTAAGAGTGATAAAAAAGGCTCATGGCCTAGGTTGGGCAACCTCCATTGCACATAGGTCTATCCGTCTATGTCATAATTTAGTTTTGCCCCAGATATGTGATGGAAATGATAAATAAATATAAAAGAAAAACTTTCAAGACACAAAATCATATAAGAAAAAATTGTTAATGTTCATTATTGTATATCTTTTAGAATTTAAATAGATATGTAAAAGGCCAAGAAACATTTCTGAGTTCTGATCAAGAGAAATACATAACTGAAGTCAACATTTCCAATTTAAATTTATACAGTTCTCTATTGAGTCTTGAAGCAGTATTATTGAAAACTTGATTGTAAATTGTCTTTCTTTTATCTTTATGCGGAACACAACTAAAATATATTGAATGTAATTTGTCTATTAGCCTGTGGTGTAGATTTTATCAATAAGTACACGAAGGAAGGTAAATGTATAGTATACCCGAATTTATTGCAGCCGCCGGTATACTTACTGTTGCAACAACTATTACCCACCACTGTAGAATTTTATTTCTTACTTTTTAAAAGCCAAATCATCTTCAACACAAGAAAATTCAGAAAAGAAAAGAACCCACTAACTTTCTTGGGCAGTTCAATGATTTATTTAATTATGTCAATTTTGGGTATTCGGGTTAATAATTGTACTTAACATAACATTTATTTCACACCAAATATGGGAAGTATAAATTAGAGTGGCAACTTCAATTCTTTTTTTTTTTAAAGAAAACACATTTCTGAACAGATCCCTATATTTTAACCAAGTCTTTCGCATTCAGGGTGGAAAAAGTAAGTGGGCCTACTTCTAATTCTAGACTAGATATGACAATAACTTTCTACTAAGAAACAACAATTTAGTTAAATTAGAACTAGATAATCCCAAATGGTAAATGGATAGATTGAACAGTTAGAGATCTCCCCTACCATTTTACTATTATTTCTTCAAAATAAAGAATGAAAAAATCATCCTTTCCAAAAAAAAAATGAAAAAAAATCAAATATATAAAATATTATATTCAATTATAGATTTATAGACATTTCTCCATTTTAAAGTTTCAGGATTAATTATATTATTACAATATTTGATACATTTGATACCTTAACAAATTTTCAACATTTAATTAGTAGACGTTATAAAAATACTCTCTTTTTTTACTTGTATTTAACTTTGTAGGGTTCTTCAAACTTGTAAATATGTACTCTCTTGCCTTCTTCATTTTGAATAAAAGGTTTGGAGGAGTTGTTAGAAAAAAGAGATATAAAAAAAACTTGAAAATCTTTGGTTGGATATGCTCTTACCACATGATCCATTCTTAGTGTCAAATAACTAACTGCAAATTATGCAATCCCAAGGTTCTAATGACTATGGATACCAGAGGTTACAAGATTCTCTTTCTCTACAAAATGAAAGAAATGCTTAATCGTTTGCTAGCCATACGCACCACTAGGATACAACATAAACGTTTGAATCTTCTGGGTAACTAATTGTGACCAACAAGGGCTTTATACTTGATTACTACCTTTTAGCTTATATTATACCCGCGGTTAGTAACCTTATCATGACATAAAACAAAAAACGTGGTGAAAGAACAAAACATAACCCCAATAGTAATTTACTTGTCGATAGTATCATATGGAACTATGCAAATTGAGAAGGCATGCCAAGAGAAAACAGTAATGTAGTTCTTTAAGAAAAGAAACAGAGAAAACCCAGTACATGATGCTACACATGCAACTGGTGCATTACACTTGCCTGTGTCACAAGTAAATGCAAATCAAAATCTTGTTGGTACGTTTGAAAGGGCACCATCATGTTTTCCTAATGATATAAGTCCAAATCCTAACAACAAGAAAGAGGGCCCATGAAATGAAAATATGAAATGAGTTTGGCGTCTAAAGCTTCATATGGAATAACAAAGAAAATCTCAAAAATTATTCCATATCTCCCATGTACATGTATATATAATCTTTTTTAGGTGGTACCAATAAATGTTATAAGCATGGCCTGAGCAAGATTTTGTTTTGTTTGACAAAGCAGGGAAAAGATACAATAAAGAAGGCTTGCAAGCAGAAAAAGCAACGAGACTACTGCTAGTAATAGGCAATTAGCAACATAGGATGAGGACAAATTTTAATATACGTACACAGTGTGTTGTATGGTGTGTGTATGTGTGTGAGAGATATAGAGAAAGAAGAGAGCAAGCAGGGGAGAAGTGGGGAAGGGAACCTAACCTGCGCCGTCAGGCTTTTGACGGCTTCTTTACTACTGGGAGTCCCACGCGCTCCCACTTCCTCTCCTCCATCTTCTATCTGTTGCTTGGAACACGTTATACACGTCAGCATCCTCTCCCTTTTCCCTTATATCCTCCTACCCCTCTTTCCTCTATATTTAACCAAAATACAAAATTTCTTTTCCTTACTTCCACTGCACACGAAAAACAAAAAGAAAATGCCTTTAGCACCTTTGGAGGTAAATAAGCATCAGCAAGATTCTTATTTCAATATGGTTAATATTAATTTAAATGATATTACGTTTAATAAATTTTGAGAATAAAATTATCTTTTTGTTAACAATCAAGATTGCAATTTATTGATAATATCAATTACAACCAACAAATCAAATGTTTTAGTAAAAGAGAAGAATTGAATGTTGGAGATTTTATGGGGGTTAAAAACTAACGAGATTTCTTGATATTAAAGATGGTTCTCACATAACCATATCAAGAAAAAACGGACAGGTTTTATTCCATTTTGAAATATAATACTTATATAATATTTAGTAACTAAAATCATGATGGCATCATCCTACACAATAGAACATTCATCGGGCCCCACATGAATACCCAAATTGAGCAATATTACATGGTTTAAGAACAAGACCACTAAACTTTTACCAAGAAAAAGAAAATAGAGCAAACTCTTGAATTGTAATTTTAAGAATCACATTTGATTACACATCAAAATTTGAATGTGGACTAAAAACGTCTTTTTAAGAAGGGGCAGAATATTTTCAAAGCTATACGATTTGCTTCAAATTTGGCTATAAACCCATGGTTGTATAGAAAAACCGAGGACCACGTTTTACTTACCAGCAAGAAGTATATACAAAATAAATAGTTGTACAATATGCAAGTAATGGTTTATTTTCATAGTACAAACGGCAATAAAGAGGATCACATTGTTTCTTGGTGAAGAGCCAAAATCACATCAACTTGAAGCATATAAATCAATTTTGTTTGTCATAAAACAATAGTATAATAAATGTTTATAGTATGTTAAATATCATAAATGTTCATCTCCAATGAAAAAAACGTTACATCATATGTTTATCTTAAAATGCATGAAAACAAATCGAGTAATTTCATTGTAACAAAATAAGTAACTTTCATAGGGAAACATTTCAAATCTAATCCTATTAACATACTTATGGTAAATTTATGATTTTAATATTAATCTTTTTTTTTAATATTTATGGAACATTTAAAGAGATTGAAGTTTAATTTTATATTGCAAATGACACGTCTCTTACTCGTACAATTGATTTAATTGATTGGCTAGGTGAGTCGTGGCAATGAGAAAAGAAAAGAAAATTCCAAGACAACATTTTCTTGGGACAAAGGAAAAGGGAGAACAAATAAAGAGAAAGTGCAGAGAGCTCTCCGGGATCAGAAATTGCTTTGCTTTACCCATTTTTAATAAAAACAAGCTTTAATAACCGATTGTAAGCTTCCCTTGTAGTCTCTTCTCTCTCCATCTTTCTACAGATGGAAAGAGACGTCTACATTTTTCTTTGCAAAATCGTAATTGAATCGATAACATTTGCAGCAGATTCGATGATACGAAGTTGCAATAATTAATCCGGTTAAAATATTGTATACGAAAAGGATGTGATTTGGTGAAGAATTGAGAATTTTTATCATGAAGATGATCGCCTGATTTTGCTTTTGTGTGCAGCATCACCATCACTGATGACTGATGAAAGAGAATGCGTTCAGAGAAAGAGACCGGAAATAGAATGAGGATGATACAAGATTAATTTCCGATGGTGTTGTTGGAAGAAATAAAATGCGAATCGAATGATCAATCGCTTTAGAAGTGTTGAAGATTGTCGAAAGCACTGAAAGTGTTTGATGAATTGACAAAAAAGACAAATCGAAAATAAAATCATGCATAAATTACCTTCGAAAACGACGGGCCTTGGCAGAGACTGACTATGTTCTTGTCTCTATTTCCCTCTTCTTCAAACGTCTCAGATATTCCTTCGTTTATCAAAAGTTCCAGAGATATTCGTTCGTATCTAAACTTATGCACCTTCTCCTGCAAATCCGAAAATAACAACTGAAAATCGGGCCCAAATCTGGCATAAGAAGTATCAAATCATTCCAAATGATGAAAATGTACAACGTCAATGACTATTAACATTCCGATTTCGAGATAATCATCAGAGTTAATACAACAACAAAAACATAAACTTACCAAAACAAGTACGTTTTCAGAATTCGGTAAAATGCTGTGACATTTCTCCTGCGACTGCTGTACCTCAGTTCGAACAGAAGAAATTCTTCCAAATCACCGATAACCGATCGGCGAATCCTCAGGAAATCCGGTCCGATGAAGCGCCGGCGATGTATTTGTTTGCAAGAAAAGGTTTTTGGATTTGCTCAGTTGCGGGTGGTTGTACGTTAAGCATCTGTTCTCGAGAGAGAGACCAAAAATAGCGAAAGAGACAAGAAAAGAGAACCATCTCTGGTATTTATATAGGGCCAAAGACTTTAACGCCGTCTTCTCATTCCGTTTAGAAACGGAAAACGTTTAATCGCCGTTAATCCTTCTTTTTCTTCTTTGAAGAGATGCCTCTCTTTCCTGTTACGGAGTTACTTTTCTGGTTCATTAAATTACCATAAACATATTTTACTTTTTTATTTTTTAATGGCTCGGAATCTACCGTTACATACATTTTAACAATAATTTTTTTTCCTTAAAAGAAATCGACACGAGCTTCACACCAAACCAACGGCACCCCAATCACTTCTATCGTAACGTTTTTTTTTCCATAACAAGCAGTGCTTGTAGTCTGGTCTATAGCGCTTAACGTATGGCTTCGATCATTGAAGATTCTGGATTTCCGTTGTACTGAGTGATAATACCAAGAGAATTTGAACTTATGTAACGTTCCAAACTCAAAACAACATGTTGGTCCAAAACCATCAAATCAACTTAAAAACATGTGGGACCTGTTGTCACAAACTCCCACATTTAGACCCCCACGTTTATTAGGCATTTCCAAAATCGCCCTTCACGAACTCGTCATGTTACAACATCCTCTGCCCCACCGTCCAGATGATATAATGATCGACTTTGATACTGTTTGTAAGGTTCTTAGCCCCAAGCAGCAGCTTGGCTCAATGAATTTTGAATCAATTTAAAATCGTGGTGGAAGTTATTGGTACCCTACAAATTTAAGCTTATAAAGAGTTCATAAATATACTTCTCTGTCATGTAAAGCAGGTTTACAACCTGACTCTAAGTTAGTATTTGATTCGCATAATGGTTTTTTTTTTAAATGGAATCTGTTAACAAAGTTAACATATTTATTACCACCCTTAAATAAATAGATTATCAATTTACCACCCTTCCTTTCAGAGGAATTCAAAAATACTACGTACATGAGACTTTCATTTCATACAACTTTGTCCCAAGCTTCTTTTGAGTGTTTGGATAAATAACTTTTACCGGTGTCAAACCAGTAATAAGGAATTTTTAAAGAAGTTATGCCCATTCTAACTTATAATAAGTTGATAAATGTTTTTGTAGAAAGTCATAACTTGTTTCAAATAAGCAATCCCAAACACCCCCTTAATATGAAATATGTCATAATTTTAACAATTTAACGAAACTTATTGTTGAATATTTATTGTTTTTAGGATAACCAAAGTGATGAATTATTGATCAGTAGATTTGAATAACGTTTTTCATGCTTTTTACTGTAAAATTTTGTTTAAGTTTTGATTTTGCATATAACCCCTCATTCAAGCTTTATTTCTTTTTCTTATTCTGTATATATTGAACTTCATTTATTTAGATTTTTGCCATTTAAAAACTTCAAGAATCTTACGATAACTTAGAAAGTTTTTACGATTTTAATTATATTTAACATCCCTCTTTTAGGTTTTCGACTGTGAAAACTCATGAGTGGTGAACTCTGTGTCTTGAGAAGTAGAGCACTGGTATCGACAAGGTCTTAGCGGTCGGTGAATGAGATACGAGTGTGATGACAGAAGAGCGGTTTTTTCTTTTGAAGACATTTTGACTTAGGAACATTACTTATCAATGTCAGCACTTTAATTAGTACTATCTAAAAAGAGATTAGATAATGATCAAACATTGATAAAAGACAGTTAAAAATATGGATTTTATAGTTCGTGTCAGTTACGGACACTGTCGTTGATGACCAAGCCGCTGCCATTAACGGATCAACACCTAAGGTCTTGCCCCTGACGCAAAAGTGTACATGACAGAGTAGTGATTGACACTAACGAATGGCCACTAAAAGGGACTTAAGCTACAAAGAAAAATGAGCTAAATCATATGACAGATCATGAAGAAGGAAAGAAGATATTCAAAGGACGATTGTTTGGTCCTTACACAAAGGATAACCTAAACAGTACAGTTTCCCAAGTATAAAACCAAGTGGACAGTGCAAAAAATAGAGCTGTAAAGGAATCAAATAGTTTTCAAAGCAATTTTTGTTTGAAAGAAGATATTCAAAGGAAGATCGTTGTTCTAAGAATGGCTTAAAAAATGATTTGTTTCCTTTTGATTATCTGATATCATGAATTTTATTTATATACGTAAGAAGAATTAAATATTTATCAGCTACTTTCATCTGAAGTCTAAACCAATTCTCATTTCCTTCGTCTCGAGGTGTGAGTCCCATAACGTGATGTTTTTTAAGCATTAGATCTTATGAACTGTCTTTTTAAAAGAAAAACCCGTTCTCTCGATCGTTGTATTTCTATGGATACTTGTTTAATGGTTCCATAGATACGGAAACTTGAGCATATGGTGAGAGTATGGAAATGACAATTACCGTCCTTGTATTATGTGAAATTACAGTTATGGTCCTTATACTTCCATCCTAGTTGCCTGGATAATTCGGAACACCCTATAAAACAAGAATTTATTCTCTCTTATTATGACCGTAGGCTTTATATGTGCATGTACCCCAAAACTATAATGTAACATATATATTAATTATATAACTTATTTTTATATGATTATAATATATAATTTCTATAAAATACTTTTTATTTTGTATAATTTAAAATAAACTACGAATTTGGTTCCTA